CTTGCTTAGTAAGAGAGAAGAAGGTATGTAGACTTGAAATGGAAGAGTTGATTTCAAAATATGAAAAATTACAGGGCTTACAGCAACACATTGATGGAAAAAATAAACCCACTGAAGTTTGAAAGACAGTATTGATGAAAATTCCAAATCACATGTGATCTAACCCAAATTGCTTAGTTATTTGGAAGCCCAGCACAATGACCTGGAGTTTAAATTAGCAAGGACAGAGCAAGAAAAGCGGAAACTGAGCAAGGAGATTGTTAGATTGCAGAAATACCTTCAAATGTTAAGGAAAGACCATCATCAAGAATTGGACATACTAAAGAAAGAATGTGAACAAGACATGAAGGAGAAAATCAAACAGGATCAGAAGGATCTTGAGTTGAAGCATAATGCGACATTAAAACAGTTGATGAGGGAGTTTGATACCCAGCTGGCACAAAAAGAACAGGAGCTGAAAAAGACCATAAAAGAAACTATCAGTAAGGCCCAGGAGGTGGAAGCTGATCTTTTAGAAAGCCATCAAGAAGAGATAAATCAGTTACGTAAAAAAATTGCAGAGAAGGATGATGATCAAAAAAGAACAGCCAAAAGATATGAAGAAATTCTTGATGCTCATGAAGAAGAAATGACTGCCAAAGTAATGGACCTGCAAACTCAACTTGAGGAACTGCAGAAGAAATGCCAGGAAATGCTACAGCAGGAGGAGAATGCTGGCAATGATAATGCAACAATAATGGTGCTACAGACACAACTAGCACAGAAAATGACTGTAATTAGTGATTCAAAGTTGAAGGAGCAAGAGTTCAAAGAGTTCAAAGTTCTACAATTTAGAAGACCCTTTAAAGAAATATGAAAAGAATATGCATGCAATGACTGCAGAGACACCTTATAAGGGTGGCAATTTGTACCATACTGATGTCTCACTCTTGGGAGAACCAACTGAGTTTGAATATTTATGAAAAGTGCTCTTTGAATATATGATGGGTCGTGAGACTAAGACCATGGCAAAAGTTATAACCACAGTACTAAAGCTCCCTGATGATCAGACTCCGAAAATTTTGGAAAGAGAAGATGCACGGCTAATGTTTACTTAACCTCTCAGTGGTATCTTCTCAGTAAACCATCAGTTTGTGCTTAGTTAGCATGTGTCATGGCTCCAATCTTCATCTTGAAGAAATGAAGAGAGTGATATTAGCAACTGCTGCTTGGAAAACTGTCTATGTTTGCTCTTCTTTGAGAATGAAGCTATCATTTAGGGCCCTTCATGTAGGTAGAGACAAAGAAAAATCTGACATTGGCCTATAGATATACCACAAACTGCTTTTAAAACATTTATTTCATCAGTGGAGAAATAGTGATAGGTTTTTCTTTTTCTTTAGTTTTCTGTTGGAATTTTATGTTGTTTGAAAGATATTTTGAATAACATAACCTGATTCATGGGCTCAATTAATATTCCTTTCTTTCATTCTTGTTGTTCCTCTTTTTAAAGAACTGCTTGCTTTATTTATTTTTGGGGTGATTTTTTTTTATCTTTTCTAAAGATCTGTGCAATACATTTTGAGGTGACACTTAGTGGATTTCTTCTAATAAATTACAGCATTTAATTGACTATTACCCAGATTGATTTGTTGAATATTTGCTAAAGACCAGTTCTTTAAGCTATGACATATGATAAATCCTCAATGGCAGTAACCCATTGTTTACTTAGCTTTTGTACTTATATTTTTCAGAGGAAAAAATAGTACTGTAAATTGTAAATAGTCAATACAAACTATTGTATGCAAATCTGTGACTGCTGGCAATGTCATCTCAGAGGAGCAGATGAACAGTTTATTTACTATATAAAAAAAATTCTACAAGTAGTTAGAGAAAAATAAACAAATCACATACAAAGGAAAGCCCATCAGAATCACAGCAGACTTCTTAATGCAAACCCTCAAGGCAAGAAGAGCTTGGAGTGATGTATTTCAAGACCTAAAGGAAAAGAGCCTCCAACCCAGATTGATGTACCCTGCAAAACTATCTTTCAAAACTGATGGAGAAATGAGATACTTTCATGACAAAGATTACCTGAGGAACTTCATGAATACCAAACCGGCACTCCAAAAAATTTTAGACAATATCCCAGGAAAAGACAATGAGGATCACAACCCCAGGAAGGCCAGCAGAATGAATCCATTGGCCATGACAAGAAATTAAAAGCAAAGGGGGAGAATCCAACAAAAATAAAAAGTCATGACAATGATAAGTCAGTGTATAGGTTATAACCATCAATGTTAATGGTCTCAATTCACTAGTGAAAAGAGACTGGCAGAATGGGTCAAGAAGTAAGATCCAACAATATGGTGCTTACAAGAAACAGACTTAATTAAAAAAGAGACTCATAGGCTGAAAGTTAAAGGGTGGAAAACAATACTCCATGTGAGAGGAACCTGACAAAAAGCAGGCATAGATATCTTCTTTGCAGATCAAGTGGATTTCAAACCAAAATCTGAAACACTGCTGGTCCTAAGAATTTCAGATAAGGGATAGTCAACTTGTATGTACAAATCTATTGTGACCATGTGTTTTCATTTCTCTTAAGTAAAAACTTAAGAACTGTCGGTTCTTAACAGTAATACAAGTAATTTCTACGTTGTTTTCCAAAATGGTTTCATCATTTTATATTCACAGTAGCGCAGTTGAAAGTTCTAACTGGTTCACACCTAAGCTGACATCCGTTCTTTTAAAACTTTTAACTTAATCTCCCTAACAAATGTATAGCATGATCTTGTTATTGTACTGATTAGTGTTTTTCTGATTTAGTGTTGCACACCTTTCCTGGTGCTGTACTGGCTCTTTATCATCTTGTGTCTACTTTTTAATTGGGTTGTCTATTAATGAGCTGTAAGAGTTCTTTATATATTCTGGCCATAGTTTATATGTATTATAAATATAGTCTGTTTAAAGACTACTTTTCATTTTCTTAATGATGTCATTTAAAGTTCTAAATTTTGATGGAATCTCATTTATCAATTTTTTTCTTTTATACATCATGT